GAGTCTTCAATAGAAGTAATAGAAGGGCGCGGGGTAGGGGGTAGAAGGGGTGCAAGGGTGGAAGGGGTGGAAGGGGTAGTAAGGGGGGTAGGGGTAGGGGGGGCTGCGCAAGCAGCAAAGCGAGCGTAAGCGAGCGTTTGATGCTTGTATGCATGGTGGAAGCATGAATTGAAGTTGTTGATATTGAAGTTGATATAAAAATCTAGCTTTAAACCACCAGCCAATAAGCGTGCGATATTCCAACCCCACCTCATGTCACCGTTGAGGCTTGTAAATAATACCCTCATCTCCCTTTCATATTCGAGCTTGACATCACAGCCCCTATGTCACTTAGGCAATTTTAATTCTGTCAAGCTAATACACGCCTGCATATTTCAAACCGTAATATCTCGAATATCGCACGCCAACTGGTGGTACACACGCGTATAACCGATCGTCCACCCAAATAGGCTTTCTTCACCTTTCCAAGGTTGTTAGAAGTATGGCGAAGGGCAATGCCAAAGACTCGGGCGCCAAAGGAAAAGGCAAAGGCAAGGCGAAGGACAACGGTGATGGCAATGAGGGAGGTAAAGGCAAAGGGTTAAAACCTGCAAATTCTATCAATGTTCGACATATTCTTGTAAGTATCTGTCAGAACCTCTTACGTCTGTTAGTTTCGAGTGTTGTGTGAAATACTTGAATTGTTTGGCTTATCATCCTAAGTGGTTTTTATAATTTTGTTATATTTCAAGAGTCAAGACCGTTCTGTTTTACATTTATGTTTGCGTACCAATGATCTGTATCCATATGGGTCACTATCCCAATGCACATGAACAGCCCTGGATGAGAAATATTCAATTCAAAATAATCTCTCCTCCCCTCTCCAGCCCGTTGTCTGTTTATTACGACAGAATGTATTGAATGTCGTTGTTCAACTTTCGAAATGTCTCTACTTTTAACATTTATCAACACCATACACGCTTGCTAACCAGCTGTTTGTGTTCGTGGAAAAAGTGCGAGAAGCACTCAAAAAAGGAGGAAGCTGCCGAGAAGCTGAGAAATGGGGCAAAATTCGATGATGTCGCAAGAGAGTTTTCGGAGGATAAGGCTAGACAAGGTTTGTGCCAATTTCACCATCTGTTGTCTCCCATTTACATTGCAAAGATCCGGATCAGTTACTTTTACTTCGCGCTTCATGCCCTCAATATATCACATAATATACTCCCCCATGATACCTTGCGAGGATTTGTCCTCTGGATCTACGAATTTGTTGGGGATACCCTCGCATTCCACAATTTTAATCTCGCCTCACTGTGCCATGTCGTTGGCGCATGCTCGAGAAGAGGGAGACGGCTCCGGATTTTGAGAAAGAATCTGGAGTTGATACACATTCCCCGTATCCCTATCCTTTGTTCCGTTTCATTCATATCCATCACCATTGAACATTGAAGCCGAATACATATGTGGGAGTTTTAGAGACAGGAAAGAAAAAGAGCAAGAGTACATTTGTCCTCTTCTAACGTTGCGAAATAGGCGGATCGCTTGGCTGGAAAGTTCGAGGAAGCCTTCATGGTGACTTTGAAAAGGTTGCATACGAGCTAGAAACCAGCACAACCGCGAACCCAAAGTGGGCGGAAGTCAAAACGGGATTTGGATACCATATCATTATGGTGGAAGGGAGGAAGTGACGGATGAATTGATGCTGAGGAGCTAGACATGAGGGATTGGACGGAATCGACTAAGCGTTTATTTCTCTTTGAAAACGAAATCTCCCTCTGATATCAATAGTATATGGGTAATGGTCATGTAGGTTTTGAGCGTAACCGTTGTTATTTTGTTTAAAACGGTCATCTTTCTTCATTCCTCCTCCGTTGACTTGAATCTATATTGTTGTGGGTAAATGGTCGGAATTGATTAGGTGTTTAGTAGTGCATACAAGATCCAGCCTTCCACGGTCAAGGGATGGTTGAAGAGTAATATTGCCAAGCATACAGCCGTAATATAAGGGATTTTTCCTAATAGCCCAGCGCAATAGTAAATTCATCCCAAAATAAATATACGCATTTCATCCGCCGTTTGAGTAGGTAACTTGTTACATCCATCCCCTCCTAGTTGACGTATATTACCATCATGACCTCGGACAGGCAAGCGCCCCGCTTATTGTAATTTGCCCCATTCCGAGATGGGGCAAACGAGAGAACCTGGAAACTGTTTGGGTGGAATTGCCCAATATCACAAGTGTGTGGCGTGCTTCGAAGGGCGTAGTAGGTAAAGTGGAGTAAGCCGATTATGGGATGAGACGAAAACGGGCTTCAGGGTCAGGCTTCGTGTGAGAATGTCATGACATTGGGCACTAGCACCACTCTTCTTTGCTGCGAGGCGGAGTGGCGCAATGCCCTTGTCTTGCTTTACACAGTATCAGCAGACGAATGCTCCAGCGATACTCGACAAATCAGGGTTGTAAATCATATGCAACCCGAACATGGCGAGAAGAGCACTAGAACAATTTCCTTTAGCCATATCATCTCTAGCCCGGACCTTACCGATACAGTTATCAGGCAAGTAGGCCTGTGGTATTCATCCAGCATCCTCCTAAGATATGAAGATAGCCTGTGTACTCCTCTAGGTCGTAGTCATGGACCTACATTATTGGAGATCGATACTACTCGTCGCGGGGCGTCGGGCGGGTCGGGCAGCCCCAGCTCCGCTCCCAAGGCGGAGGCCCACGTGCTGTCTTTGGATATTTCATGGTTGTAGCCCGGGATCGCTGTTATTCTGATTACGGGCCCGGAGCGACCGACGTGCAGCTCAGATAATATCGGCGGTGAAATACAAACCGATCAATCAATCACACGTAAGATCGAAACATCAAGCTTGTAACAAGAATGATGAAGAAGATTTGCGCAGATTTAGCGAGGTTCACCATTGAACCTGGGCTACTAGAATCACCCTGTCCTGGCCGGCACTGACACGACAATTGATGGTGTCAAAGTTTCACGGCAGGCTGAACCGCTATCAAGAGCGCCATCGTGGGAGAATAATAGGCCAGCGGCCTTTTCTCCTTCAAGCCAGCTAAGGTTCGAGAACTTGCTCTGAGCATATTCGGCAAGTTTCTTCCCCTGTAAAGAGCCTCCGGGAGAAGCATTCAGAAGCAAGGTGATCAAATCAGAAAGTCGCGGATAACTAATCCATGGCGGGAGGGGAATCTGGAGATCAGGCTCAGGCCCAGGAGCTTCTGCTTTTTAATGTGAGGGAATTGCTAAATAGGGTTAGAATGTCAGAAAGGGGAGCTTCAAACATGGCAAGGCTTGGTCCCATTATTGTCCACGAAAAGCTCATGGTAATTTTGTTCTGGCCAAATCCCTATGCTCCATGCATGCCCGGCATCAAGCACCCTTTTCCGTACATGCTAGCAGTGAGAATACAATCTAGAGCTTTATCACCACCTTCGCCCGCCCGGGCGTTATGTCGCGATTGTGACTATCATGGTAACCGGAGCATGAAAGAGCTTGTGTTTAAAGCAAAAATGGTATAAACCCAAGAATGAGGAGCATAATAATCTGATCCAGGGTTTGGGGAATGTCCATGTAGCCATCCAATCCGCTTTCAGATATTGAGCTTGTGAAGGATGAGGGCGGCCAAGGTTCAGCGCATCCAACCCTAACCCCATTGGGATATATTAAGGTGGTAGGTAGGATGTGTTGCTATTGGGTTCTCTCACCTCTTTTTTTCGTTAATATTCTTTTCTTTCTTTCTTTTTTGGAGAAGAAGTGAGCAAAGAGAGATGCATGCACTAATGTAGTCCATGCAAGGCTCGTTGTCTATTTATCCTTATGCAGCCCCATGAATTCAGTGTGGCTTGCAGACAGAGAGGGAACAAAGTGTGGCAGAAAGTACATTAGTCAGTAATTATCAGATATTTACAACGACGAGTTTCGGTCCCCCTTCATGAAGAGTTCCTCTCTGCTTTTCACAGCCAGTTTAAGCAAGACGTGGTTAACGATGCCCCTCGACGATTGAATCTGAAATAGCTGGCCTGGCCCAGTAATTTGTTTCATGCAACCCTGGTTGTATTGTTGTCACATTTGACAATCAAGTACTGAATGGCATTGCATGATATGGTAGTGCTGCATGCTTCGTGGCAGGGTGTTTGCATATCAAACTCACACCATCATCAGAGCCACTTCTGATGGCATTTGGCCAAGTGCAGCACATCCATTGGTTGATATTCTGAGGCACCCTTGCTAGTTGTGCAGGTAGAAGCTGTCTTTTGGGTTATCGGTGCGTTTGTTCAACAAAGGGCGAAAGTAGGCCTTTCAGCATCGGAGTTAAATCGAGCTGATACCAGCCTGTCCGTTCCAAGACCAATTTGCAGGTTTTGGCTGTCATCCGGAATCTTCAATACTTGATCTGTGGGACATGTGTTTGGCACTCAAATTTCAGGCTCCAAGTGCAGCTGAAGAGATGACCTTTACTCTCCTTCTCAAAGCTTTAACTAGCAGGACGCGCTGAGACAGCCATCATAGCATCAGATACAATGATGTAACCGTTCAAGACCGGGAAACTGAGACTACTCCTTTGTCAGCTTTTGTTGTTATACTCTCCCTTCTTCATCTCTAAAGTCAGTGACTAAAACCAGCTTTCAGTTTTACTGTCCTTTGCTCTTGATGGTGGTTTAGGGGGGGGGGGGGGGGGGATCTTGGTTGTAATTGATATGATCACCGCAACGCATGCCTGGCCATCCTGCGTAATTCTTCCCACCCTGCACGATGCCTCCCGTCGTACTTCATACTTTGGAAGTATGCCGTATTGATCCACATGAATCAGCTCCTCCTTCCCCCTCCAAAAACCTGCTTTTCTGCCGCTGCTAGGGTTGTTTATCAATACATGAGCCACTTCGAAGCCACATCGAATCCCAGAAAAGAGTTTGCTAATGGCGGGAACAGTGAGCCTCCGTACACCGACCGACATAGGCATAGTACAGTAACCTTTTGTGCTTCCAGTAAAACTACACTAGTTTACGCACTGTTTATTGAGATAATTGATCATCCCATTATACATCCTGCGGATGTATGATTCCACTCAACATTATGAGGGAATAATATGAGAAAAGTCTGTGAGAAGAATGGAGTAAATGAGTTCATTTGCGTATCATCTGACTCTATAACTTCTACTAATTACTATGCATTAAGTTACTTTGAGACTAGCCACAAAAGTTTCACACTTTTGCCGTGGCGCTGTACATACATACATGTACAGAGTACATGTAACTTCGTACATTAGCGTGGGATTGGCGCTAGCGCGGGTGGCCCTGATCCACCGCATCCCACCCGCAACCCCCAACTTCACCACAAAACCTTACTTTCGGATACCCCCCCGGGCGCGCCCCCCGTCAGCAGGTGGATGGCGCGGGCAGCTTGTCCACAGTTGCGTGGAGTCGCGGGATACGGCTGCCCATAAAAAATCATCATAAATGAAATGGCCCAAGGCAAAAATATAGCAGTCGAGACAAGGGAAGAACAACTCATCTTCTCTTTGCTTTTCATATTTTCCTCGTCTAGCCGTTCTCTGTCGGCTCTGGCTTTTGCTTTGTCGCATCCTAAATTTTTTTCTAGCAGAAAATCTTACTCCCTGCAAAATAAAATACCAGGGCAGCGCATATCCTTGATCAGCTTTTTTTTTCGTATTTGCGATCAACAACGTAGAACATTCTCTCACTTGTTAAGGCTACCGGTCCGATTTCACCTCTCCATGCTCCGTACAAACCACATGTGATATCCTCTCACTTACCTCTTCAACACCTCTCTCCTCTTTCTACTTCTCAGAATCGTCGCCTCACCCTTATCGCGTCAACCCCCACTCACCTTCCATCCTTCTAATACCCACCCTTTAAAAGCCCACCAAGTCATCCAACACATCCACCATCCAAAGACTTCTCGTAGCATCGGTTTTCCTGCGTAAACATGCATTTGAACGTTTAACGCCATGCGCGTATTCTGAGTCTAATGTTCAGCCCTAATACTCCATCTCCTTCCTCAGACTCAACCTCTCACAGACAGCCCCATAGGAACAGCTTCAGTCTTCCGGCCCCTCCCGCAAAGTTGGCTCTTCCAACAGGCGAATGCAGATTTATATTGCTCCACCCATCTATTCCCGGCCAGCGCTGCTCGTGTCAGGGATTTCGTCGCAACGAATCCCGTCTAGGCGCTAGTTGTGAATGTGGCCATCAGGCATGTTACCATCAATCAGGTAACATGGTGAACAGTTCCCAAGTGAGTGAGCCTGTCTCGCCGTTGGCGCTGGCGGCTCTTCTGGAAAGAGTCTCCCGGCTAGAGGAGCAGCACCGGCAGGATCGAAAGCTATGGGAAGAGGAGTTGAGAGAGGAGCGGCGGGCACGTCGTGAAGACGCTCGGGTTCTGAGGGAGGCTATGCATTCGTTCTATAAATTTATGGAGCGGGAGGTCCCGCAAAAGTTTGCTGCGGTGGATGATAAGACTGATAGTCTGTTGGATCATGTGTCTAGGTTGGAGGAGAGAATCGGCATAATTGATGATTCGACCATGGGGTTGGAAAACCGGGTTGCTGATCTTGAGGGTGATGATGGTGATGGTGATGGCGACGGCGATGGACATGGACATGGAAATCATGAGGATGGAGTTCAAAGCGAGGGCATAAATGAGGAAACGTCCGTAGAGGAGGACGAAGGGAATCCTAAACGAGCCAGGCGAAAATGGCAGACGACGGATAGGCCTGGCGCGGAGCAAAGAGTGCTTTCTGTCAAACTAAGCAAAGACTCCCGTGGCTGGTCAGAAGGCGACTGTCAATGTCATACTTCAATGGCACCGCCCAAACCCCCTGGTGCTTCACAGTGTCATTCTGCGGCTTGCATCTCAAAATCACCTAAAACATCTCCTTACAATCCCGCCACAGACCCCTCCTTCCCCCTAGAGCTTATCGATGCCCACGCCCCTAATACCGGGGCTCACACATATGTCCACAGACTCACATCCCCACCTCGCAACTTGGTCACCCCTCTCCTCTCAAATCAAGAAATGGCATCATATAAAACCATCCGACACGCGACAAATATTCACACCACAGATGTTCCACTCATAAACCCCCCTCGCCCACGCTCTGCCTCCGCCAGGCAAGACGTAGGCCAGAAAGATTCAGCGAATCAGCAGCAAGTTTCCAGAGCATACCCTTCGCCCGAGGAGAAGGGAATTGGACCGTACTATGAGCTGTCCAATCCGCCGTCTGGGAAACGAAAGCTTGATGCGGAGGGAAACGAGACCCGGCAACGGCCAATGTTCCTCCCAATGCCACCGCCACTATCACTATCTGGGCCTAATGGCGAAGTTTGAATCATGTTTCCCAGAGACTAGGACCGGTCATTCATAAGAATCTGGAGAACAGCATGAAGACCATGAGTGGTTGTTGGTTCAACCGTTTTCTTGGACTAGGTTTTATTGATTAACCCCCTTTTCGCACGCCCATGACTCTTAAGCAGAGAAAAGGGAATGCTGCAATTAATGAACGTCTTGATGAATGGAGATGATAATTCTGGCAATCTCAACGCAAACACTCCCATAAAATTATACACATGCTTCTCTTGCGTTGTGCAAAAACATTGGAATTCGAGCTGTGACTGCGGGACAAACGTTGGGATGTTGCGAACGACCACAGCTAACCACGTGCCTCCACCCCACCCTTCCAAACTCCCACCAGCAAATTCTTAATTCTTCTCCTTGCCCTCTACAACTACTTTCCCCCTATCTTCCAGCCATGTCTCCACTCCCTTTCCGCGTCACGATTTATGCACCCATATATATATCTCCGTTTGTTTTCTCGCAGCTTTCTAAAAAAGGCCCCGCCACCAAAATTTACCCTCGCTAGAATTCAGGGGGGGCATCGGTGCTGTTGTTGTTGCATATGATTTTTAAGGATCAGATAGACAGGCGTTACTTCATCCCTTAACCCCTTATTTTTTATATCAGCGTAGTGCCCGTCTTTCATCTTGTTCTTTCAACCGAGCTCTTTATTTTTTATTTTTTATTTTTATTTTTTATCTCATTCCGCCCTCCCTAATACCCATTGCTATCTGGGCGACATTCCCATCCGTAACGAGTGCCGCACAGTTAAGATAAATAGACTTTCTTTTTGGGCATGCTTATGGAACACATATAATATAATATATACCACAAATGAGACATGTGTGATATACTCTTGTTTGTTTTGCGTGTGGTGATGGACGTACGAAAAAGTAGTCAGGCAATATTCTAGTGAAGAATATGAGTACACTCTGTATTTTGACTATCTATGCTATCGAATTTCTAGTGTTACAAGATCAAGTGTTAATGAGGTATAACGTTCAGTAAATATGCCTGTTAGCTGTCATCATTGGGCTCATTGTGGCCCCTGAGCCGTGAAAAGGGGCACTTAATGAAAGGCGCATTCGGTAAGGGATAGGAATGAGGGCGCAAGTCATGAGATGGATATATAAATGCTTCAAAGAGACTCTCCAAAGTGTCCGAAATAAATTAACGCCGCCACCATATATAATATAGAAAATGAAGAAATATGACAAAGCACCACTACTTTGCCCATATTTCAATATATTTTTTTATATATCGTGAATGGATATATATGCATATACCTCGCCAAGCCTTTACAACTCCTTCTCCCCCTTACCACTCATATTACTGCCATTCATCTTCTCCTTCTCCTTCGCTGCCAATTTCTTAGCCTTCTCCCTCTTCTGCATCAATCCCTCCGCCCCAATGCCGCCAAAGACCAGCCCAACACCTATCCACTGGCCCCCACTCAGCCGGTGGCCGAACCACATCACACTCAACACCATCGTAAGCATCTTCCTCGTAACTGTAACGGTGACAAGTAGTAGGGAAGAGAAATGCGCGAGAGTATGGAATATGAATAATTGTCCAACCGCACCGCAGGCAGCAAAGGCGATTACGTCCTTTGTTGCGGTTGGGTGGCGGGATAGAAATGCAAGGGCGGAAGATAGCTCGGAGGTCTGCGATAGGTCGATAGGGAGGGGCATCAGGGGGAGGATTGAGGTTGAGAGGTGTGGAGTGACGAGGAGGTAGGTGATTGTTAGGAGTGTGCAAAGCAGGTTCTGGGCCACCATCATCTGCGGGCCGGTGAAGCGCGAGTACAGCTTCGGAGAGGAAAATATGTGGTCTTGGGTTGTGTTTGTGAGGCCGTCTAGGAGTAGGTTCACGGATAGGAGGAAGAGGCCGTAGAGAGAGGAGCCGTTTTCATTACTATTACGGCTGTTTTTCTTCTTGCTGGAGGTGGGGTGGTGGAGGGTGAACGTCGCGACGCCAATGGTTACGAGAAGAATGACGCCGTATTTGTACAGGGGATAGCGTTTGCGGAAGATGGTGAGATGGAGGAACATTACTGGGAGAAGCTTGCAGGATTTCGCAAGGATGAAGGTAAGGTAGTCGATGTGTCCAAGACTGGCGTAGCCAAAGGGCGACGCGAGGGATGAGGATACGCTAATGAGAATAAGGGGGAAGAGGATGCGAGTTGTTGGGAAGACCGCTGGAAGTTTTTGGCCTCGTGGAGTGGAAAAATAGAGGTACATGAAGCCTGTGATGGCAGCGAAAAATGACTGGATCGTATTCAGGACGACTGAATATGTCCACCGTTCCTTTGGCGGGTTGGGATCATCTGGGGTCGGAGCGTAGAGGGGATATGAAGTAGTGGTGATGGCTTCCTGAAGAACTCCCCAAGACAAACTTTTCAATTGCACGCAAAATTTAGCACATGGCGTGGATAAAAGCTAGAGTAGAATATCTCTTACAATGACGCATATATTCCCCCTACACATATAACTAATCGAAGAAGGCTGGGGTGGTCCGAATGATGGCTACCGGCCGCTGATGATTTTGCGGCGGTTTCGGAGAGAGTTTTGCCTGGTGTGACACAGTTGGTTTGCCGCGTACGATGTTCCGGGAGATCTGGAGGCGCATTCATAACTCCAGACGAAGGAGTTCGTTGTAAAGGAACCTTTTGTTTTTGGCGCGCCATTTTGGTTGAACAGCTGTTGGAATTGAACTCGATGCGTGTGTCTGTTTGGCGCGACGAAGAATGGACTCATCGAAAGGCGAATGGCAAATAGCGAATGGGATTGAACAATAAAACAGACAAGAAGATCTAAAGCGCTGAATTGAATTAAAAGTAAAACAAAAAGGAAATGTCTATATTATTGAAAGAAAAGCCGAAGAGGTATTAGAGGCAGAGGTTGAGATGGAGAGTAAGTAAATTAAAAATTGTCAGATACGTACATGTACATTTATCTTTAAACTTTCCATGATGCCATCTGTTCTGTTTGGCTGGGGCTGATTAGGGCTTGGCGGGTCACGCTTCTTATAAGCTTCGGACTGGTCCTTTTCTTTTTTGTTTATTTTTTTGTAGATTGATGATGGAGCTTCTTTGAAACAAACCGTCCAGGAATATATATCCAGTAATAGCATTATCAATATCCCAATTCTCCTCCGATTGAACTCTATCTTGGATCCGTATTAACAAAAGTGCTTGTTCCCCGCAGCAGCCTTAAACTCCGCCTGTCACAGCTCCGGCGGGACCCGACCCAAGATACTCAAGGGCAGAGCTCTCCCCAGCCCTGAAGACGCCAGATCACGCCAGATTGATGATACCCAATCCAACGAAGCCTCTTTCTACAGTCATCATACAATTACTCTAGAGCTCCGCACCTTCACTTACTTGTATACATACCACCACCCGCCATGCCGACCGCCACGACAACCACCTCTTCCACCCCTCCTCCCTCCGCCCTGACCTCCCTCACAACCCCCACGACCCAAAACCCCACAGCCTCCCTAACCACCCAAGTACTCCATAACCTCCAGCACCAACACCTCTGGACAGCCCTACGCATCCACGAACCCCACACCCTCTCCCCAGCGCAGCGCATGCCCCTAATATCCGGCCTGCCCCCGCAAACCCTCTACACCCATCCGGACGAGCAAGCGTTCATGCTCGAGCACGGCATTGGCACGGACGATGTGCCTGTGGAACGCGAGTGGGTGATTCCAACGGCGCAGGGACAGGCGTGGAGCTTAAGGAGGTTGGTGGAGTGTTTTGATTCACTGCCATTGCCTGACAGCAAACACGGAGACGGGGGCGAGGCTGTGAATGGAGATGGAGATGGTGACAGTGGTTCGGGTTCGGGTTCGGGTTCGGAAACGGAAAGTAGAGTAAAGATGGAGAAGACGGGGGAAAAGAAGAATGCGAAGAAGAATGATAGGAGAAAGTTAAGTAAAGAGGAGATATTTGCGGAATATGAGCGGAGGAGGAGGGGGAAGGAGTGGGGTGGGAAACGAGCTTTGATGGCAATGGTGAATAGAGGGATGGGCGGGGATGGGACGGTGGTGTACTATGTCGTGCTTGAGGGGAGCGTGAAACCGAGGCAAAATTGAAGGGGGAATGATTGTTTTCTTCTTTGGATATTTATCCTATGGGCTACGCGCGCCTGGTATCTCTTGCCTATATTGCAAGGGGAAATTTGGCCTGTGGCGGCATTGGTGGGTAGATATCAGTCGTAAGTTCACTGTCAGCATCAGGGCATTCGAAGTAGGTGGCGGTCACAAAGAACATTGATCTACTCTGACGACCGAAGTCAGATTTGCACCTACTCGACACACACCAGAGCCCTTGATTCCACACCAAAAGCGAAGGAACTGAGGTAATATAATAAAACAAACCAGGTGTATTATCCATCCGTCTATCTTTAAACGCTACCCAAAAGCCCATGTCAAACCAAAAGGAGAAAGAAACCGAAAGCAAAGAGAGACAAGTCGACAGACGCAAAAGACCAACCCTTGATCGATCCATCATGGCATGCTACAGCACGAACCCGAACACCAGATCAACTAGGTATCATATCAAAGCCAACCAATTTTTCCCGTTTTCAAACTAAAAAAAGCCACGAATGAGAAAACGGGAGGGAAAAGAAAAGAATGACAAACACCCGCTGGGAAAAACGTGGGCAAATCAAACATCGGAGAACCAAGGGATATATATATGAACAACCCCTCTTTGTTACTGAAATCAATCAACCACGAACCTTCTCTAGTTCCCGCTGACAACTCAAACAATAATCCTGATACCAAAGCTGGATATCTTCAATATCAGTGGCTGCGAATCTCTTCTCAAAGTCCGAGATAATTTCGTCACTGTCGCCGCCGGCGCCGTGGTCTCGGTCATGCAATCGTTCCCGATCGTTCAACAGAATCTCGATCACTTGGCACTTCTGCGTCTCCTGGTGAAGCCAGCGTTCCCATTCCGCTTGAATTACCTCCTTCTCTATCCGGTTAACCACCCTGAGGGCAACGAGGAGGTTATGTCGGTAAATACCTAACCGTTCTCTTGTGCGTTGGAGCTGCTGTGCGGCGCCCTTTGCCCTAGAATCCTTCGCTTTGGTTGCAGAGGTTGTGATTGCCCGTGGCAGATCTGCAGATCTTAAAGCGTTGTTATCCCGGAAAGTTGAGAAGCTATAATTGAAACAAAGTTAACTGTCTGCGTAACTTGTAACACCGATAGAACAAAAGTAATAATAATAATGGACTGACCAGGAACTTGAATTGCCCGTATCGATTTCAGTAGCATTAGCAACAACAATGTCCATGTCCTTAATATATACCGCCTTGCTCATCACTCGGTTAGGTCCAACACCAAGCCGGGTCATGAAGTTGCCAGCATTGCGTTCATGCCACCATTCAACCGTATCATGATACGAATGGTACCCGTTAATAAGCATGCTGAACGCGAGGAGCAAAAGAATGATGCTGTGCGCGCTGCAGGTTTTCCATATCCATCGGAGTAGCACCCAGAACCAGATCATCAACGATGATACTGCACTCTGTAGCAAAGATCCGGAAGTTTCTAGCAGGAGTGGGATGATACCACTTTGTTTGACGGGCCGGCGAAGACGAGATTTTAAATTTTGCGAACTCTCAGTAAATTCGATTCCACGCGTTTGGCGGCCGACGTGGCCGAATTGCGCTATGGCCCTTTTCGTTTGGTTGTGAGGTCCAAGCCGTTTAACCTCTTCAGATACAAGATCTACAAGGTCAAGCGCATCCTGTTCGAGATCGTTCAAGGCTTGCCTGTCGATTATACCTGTTGATCCGTCACATTAGCTACTGGTACGGCTCAGGTACATTGACTCTGGAAATGGGGTAAATGGGAGGAAAACCTACTTCGAATAAGGTATGGCTCCCACAGCCACTCCACTTTGGTGAATATGGCAAGCTTGCATCTTGATTTGGAGACATGGGTAATAACGATTTTGCTGACCAGTCTGAAATAACGCTTAAAAGGAAGATGCCACGGCGTCCTTTTGTCTGTTACTACGTAGCATAAGTGATCGTTTAGGACATCGAGAATTTGGTAGTCAGATACATCCGTGAGGCGAAGCCGTCCTAAGTTTTATTAGTTTGGGCCCGGAAAATCCGTGGATGCGAGGCTGGGATCTATCTTACTGAATGTATCTGCCATATTTATCTGGTATTGGATATCACGTCTCAAATGTGCAGAATGAAGATTCGACCATGGGCCCTGTCTGATGTCTTTTTCGTTTAGTCCGATTAGTTTGGAATCATGGCTGGCACATGGGGCGAAATATTTCAAACTTACTTTGGGCTCTCCGCTGGTGTTGAAGCAGCTGCCAAACGGCACTCTTATCCCCAAAAAGAATGTGGAACAAGGCTTTCGAACTAATATCATAGAATTTCTCAGCAGCCAGGTAAAGAGCGCCCTGCGGTACATATTCGACGGGTTGAGATGGCAACTTGAATCGAGGTGCGTCGTGATAATCAGACTTGCGCTTATTCATATCCAGATCATGGTCACTGCGTAGTACTGGCTTCAAAGGGGCATCGGAGCGTTTCCCATTTACACCATTCGACGCTCCGTCGACTGGGGTATTCAGTGAGACATCTTCCCAACTCTCCATGCTGGGTGTCCGGGTAATATCTTGTTCCATTTTCACCAAGGATTTGAATATGCTTTCCAGGTTAGGTGGTTCATTCGAAGAGGCAATGCCGACTAGATAATTCAGCCTCTTGTGAATTAATTTCAAAGGATCCAAGAAGGTTTTTATCGTCAGTCGACGAGGGATATCACTTCCCTCTTCAGCAGCTAGGTGAAGGAACAAAAAGTCGCAATCTCTGCCGGGAGCAGCCGTCACTTCAGTAATCATATCGAGGTCGGCACAGCTTGTGAGTACGAGACTGAAATGATTGCTGTAAAAGTAAATACGCCTTGTGGTGACATATACTCTTCCTGGAAAGTCCTGCTGGTCATTCAAACTAAAAAACGCTCGGAATACAAGGAGAAGAGTCTCATCCCCCGGTATGTTTGGGAAAAGGAGACGGAATTGGGCGTCATGGGGCTTTAGATATGCAGGGAAATAGCTTGGGTACTCGTGTAGGACTGTGGCGCCGTCACTCAGAGTTGATGAATCGCCACCACCAAGACTGACAGTTTGTCTGTGATGACTTGTGGGAGGGGGATATTCTGGTGAGTTGGTATTCCCGGGAGCTTCTTCAGCGGAATCTTTGGACTATATTGCAGTCGTATGTTAGCTATATAGTTAATAGAAAACACTATACTTTAGAAACAACAACACAATATACCTGACGGTCAGCTACTCCGAGACACATGGATACTCCATTGCGCCCCAGTCTGTTCACATAACCCCAATGTGAACTTCCCCAAAGATTTGCCATCATCCCGGTTGGTATTCCCCCTGTACCATCTGGGAATCTGACCCCAACTCCTCTTTCAGTGCTCACAACCACCGCTACCCTACTCATACTGGTATGCGCAGGAGGATTCGCCAACGTTGGTGGTGCAAGAGAACCCACCGACGTATCTCGAGTATTGTAGATAAAGGGGTTCTGTGCTCGTTGTTTAGTTTCAGTTTCTGGGGCATTGGCCAGTGCTTGCGCGCTGAGAGGAAGAAGACTGTGACTGGCAGATATAAGGCTAGCTATTCCAGGGGGGTTGGGCTGAGGAGATGAAGTGCCGGATTGGTGCAGTCCAGTGGTGGCGCGTCGATGGATATCGAGCTTCTGAATAATCCGAGTTGTATGGTCCTTTCCGCCATCCTCACGATCAGCTGCAGTGGACCGCCTGGGAGATGACAAGTCGCTACTATTCCGTACTGCCAAACCGTCACGATCTGTAAGTGGAGCAGTGGAACTTCGGTCTAGAATGGAAGCTTCATCATTTGTGTTGGGTGTCAGGGACTCTGAAGAATCTGCAGCAAACTCAGGTGCAGGTGGCTGAGAAATTGAGAAAGCAGGGTCTTGGATATGTAGGTTTCCAGGCAAAGAAGTCGGATAAGGACTATCGAGGGCTTTTCGCTTGGCTGCTTCAAATGACCCGATCCATTCTGTGAGCTCCTTTTGAGTCTCAGCTTGTAGCATTATAGTATTGTTCTTCGTCTTCACCTCGAAGCAAAATCGGCGTTCTTCTTGAAATGCAGGTCGAATGCTACATAGGAGAACCCCGATTCTCTCACTTTCTTCAACACCGCCAGTTCGAGCGCCTTGTACTAAACATCCAAAAATCCCATTTCTCAAAAAGGTCCAACGGCGGACCCAGGCCGTTCTTGTAGGTTTGCCAGTTAGGATCCTCAAACTCAACCAACCTTGCTTTTCTGGCCAGAAGGTATGGTCCTTGCCCATTTTAAGTGAGGTGGGGCCATGCGAGCCCAGATATGGTACTGTAGAGACGGCATAATCGTCAAGTTCTCGAGATGGGCGAACCGCCAGCTCAGCTGCTTCTTCGATTTGCTTTCTCGCTGCGAGCAGGTCACGCTTTGATAGCTTCTCGCTTGTCTCCATCTCGTTGGTCCAGCCCTTTATTCGATCCATCTCCTGGCCCCATTTTGACAACGTCGATGAATTGGTATCTCGCAAAATCCTGAGCTCCCGCCACTGATCGCAGGAAACGCGCACGATGAGCTTGTCGAGCGTATTCTTTATTTGCTGCGATTGGATACAAAATTCCATGGATGCCTTCAAATAGGCCTTGCGAGCTTCGTGTAGCTGGAACGCATCTTCTCGTAATGATGATGGCTCTTTCGATTTGCCCTGGCCAGCATATTTGATTTGTAAAGTATCGTGCTGCTTTTGAGTTGATTCAAGTGTACGTCGAGTTTCCTATTGCGCCAATTAGGCCATCAGTAAAACGCGATACCTAACGAAGAGGGAAGTTGTAGGCCAACACCACTGGCCCGAACACTACGAACCTTGAACTGCCGCAAATCATTCTGGATGAACGCTCGAATAGGTTCAGCAATCAAGGAATCTGACTTCTTAGCTGTTGATATAGCACCGTTCCAAAAATCCTTCACGCTCTCCCCATAACGTTTCAAGGCAAGAAAAGCATAATCATGATCAATGACGGCTTCTGAGACCGCCCCGGGAGCCAGAATGTTGGATATGAAGCTGTTTGCCGCAGTTTCCAATGACATGAGCTCCGAATTCAATCTAACAGCACTCCTAGCAAATCCATCGAGCCATTTCTCCACAAGATCGATCTGCTCAGCGAAATGCACGGCGGTGGCACGAAAGCTCGGGGAATCGAGAGCGGCCTCCTTCAGGCCCACCGGGCTGGTTATAAATCATCTTGTGTCAGCTAGCTACACAGCAGCATGGGATCGATCCAACAAAAGCCAGTCAACAAGGAAATGAGCATACATGGCACTAATGGGGTTCCCATCCTTGATGATAGAGGAGGACGCTGGCTGGGACGACGCCATCTAGCAAGCAAGCAATCATGCGTGATACACCGCCGTTTCCATAGATCAGGCGGAATTGGGCGTTTAGAGATCCAAGCAGCCAATGATTAACAGACAGAGCGCATTATAAAAACGCAGGTAGGGAAGGAGAGATGTATGTATATACGGAGAAGTAAGACATGGAAGAGACGCGACGTTGTCTGTTTTACATATATATATGTAGGAGGAGTGGGGAGGCCCGCGGCTCTCCGCCTTCCTCGATAACCAGGCTAGCGGCGAGAGCTGAACAAAGCCTGCGGAAGTACTTGCTTGGCGCTGCCCAGCCCGACGCCGTCTTCTATTGGCTACCGCGGATTAAGCTATGCTCCGCCAGCCCAGTCAGCAAAAAAAGAAAAAAGAAAACACTACTCCCACCAAAATATATATATATGTAACTACTACAAAAATATCCAGATTTCGCGCTCCTAAGCGTTGGCGCAGTACCGTTGCTGGTGTATTTTCTTCCTACTGTCATTTTGATATAATTACAATTCTCAACTACTTCAACTACTGTTGAAACTCGGTTGGTTTTTCAAAAACCTTCGCTGTTGTTGTCGAGAATGGAGCCACCAGCCAAAAAGCAGAAGAAGCTGCTCATGGACGATGACAGTTCCGACGAAAGCAGTGACAATGGAGGAGCCCTGCTAGACAATGGGGGGAATGTCGGATTCAAAATCAACGAAGAGTATGCGAAACGGTTCGAGTATAACAAGAAGAGAGAGGAATTACAACAATGTGCGTTTTTTGAGACTAACTCTATTTTCTTTTACATTCCGTTTCCATTCATTTTTTTTATTTTTATTTTTTATTATTTTTTCCTTTTTCCCTTTGTTCTTTTCTAACAATTCCTATGTATATAGTGGAGGATAAATATGGTAAATCGATTGGCCTTGGGAAGCGCAAAAAGGCGGCGGATGGCGATGTCGACACAGCGGACGCATCTGAAGAAGAAGAATCATCGTCTGACTCCGAAGATGAAGACGACGAAGGTGTGCTCGCAACCGAAGCCCTCGACCGCGAAATATTTGATACGTTAAATGCCATCCGCTCCAAGGACCCCAGGGTCTACGATGCCAATGCCAAATTCTACAGCGAAATCAAAGAAGCAGAGGACGAGCCAGAGGACGAGCCGGAGGCGTCGTCTGCGAAGAAGGAGAAGCCTATGTTCATACGTGATTACCACAGAGAAAATCTGCTGCGTGGCGCCAGTGGCGGCGAGAATGAGACTGAGGAGGAGGAGGAGGAGGAGGAGGAGGCGCCCAAGACCTTTGCGCAGGAACAAGAAGATCTGAAACGGGAGATTATCAAAGAAATGCACGCCACCAACGATGCGAGTGGTGGCGATGGTGAAAATGAGGATGAGGATGAAGATGGTGGCTTTCTCATTCCGAAGACAAAGCGAACCGTCACTGAGACTACAGAGATTCCTGTGTTGGATGTTGAATCCGCGGACAAAGACCCTGAAACCTTCCTGTCCAACTTCTTGAAAGCCCGGGCCTGGGTCCCGACCGAAAAGTCGAAATTCCAGCCCTTAGAATCCGATGATGAGGAGGAGGACCAGCAGGCTGAGGCTTTCGAGGAAGCATATAACCTCCGTTTCGAGGACCCAAATAAAATGAACGAGGTGCTAGTGACACATTCTCGAGACACTACCTCCAAATTCTCCGTTAGAAGAGAAGAAGCTAGCAGCAGGAAGAAGAAGAGAGATGCTGAACGGGCGAAGAAGGAAGAGGAGAAGCGGCAGCGTGAGGCGGAGCGCAACCGCCTTCGAAAACTGAAAATCGAGCAACTTGAGGACAAGGTTGAGAAGATCAAGGCTGCTGCGGGGCTGCGGACGTCGGATTTCAGTGAGGAGGACTGGGCGCGTTTCCTTGACGATGGTTGGGACGATGCGAGGTGGGATGAGGAGATGAGGAAACGGTTTGGAGAAGATTACTACGCTAAGCAGGAGGGTAGTGATGACCCTGATGGTGAAGGCGAGGGCGCTGGCAGCTCCAAGAAACGAAAACTGAAGAAACCCAAGTGGGACGACGATATCGACATCAAGGACTTGGTTCCTGATTTCGATGAGGAAGGGGGCGAGATGCCTCAGCTTAGTGACATGGATATGCAAGACGCAGGGGATGTTGATGGAGAAGGAGATGAAGAAGACGACGCCACTGAACCAAAATCCCACAAGAACAGCAAAAAGAAGGCCCTCCAAAATAAAAAGGAGAAACAAAAAGAAGCTAGAAAAGAGCGCCGCAAAATCGAACAACTCGTCGACAAGAGTCTCGATCTCGACCTTGACGCAACCCTGCTCCCGGCGCCTCCCAGAAACACAGCGGACACTTCCGCTACCGCGAAACCTCCCCCGTCAGCTTCGGCCTGACGGCCCGAGACATCCTCATGGCGGACGACAGCGCCCTGAACCCAGTTTGCCGGGTTAAAGAAACTGGCGTCATTCCGTGACCCGGGAGCGGAAGAAGAGGGACCTGAAGAGGATGGGGAAGAAAGCGCGGCTACGGCAATGGCGCAAGGAGACGTTTGGCGATGAGAACGGACCCCCTGCTGACTTTGCGCTGCCGCCATCGACGCCCCAGGGCGCGTCGGCTGACGCGAAGGGTAAAGATGAGGTGGTTAAGAATAAAGATGATGGGGCGATGGAGGTGGATATTCGCGAAGGGAAAAAGAAGCGGAAACGGTCGAAGAAACATTGAGGGTGAGATGGGTGAGGAGTAATAGTACCCAGTCCACATATTTTTGGGGAGAGTGTTGGAGATGCAATGGTATTGTACTGCTATTTTTCCCCATAGTTAGATATCCTTTTATCTGTAGTCATATACTAGGAGAACAAAAAATGAAATGGTCGTTTTTTTATGTTATTACTACACTACTGACTACATGATTTTATAGAATAAGTAACCTCGTAAACTCAATGCAAAATATCTCATGATCAGATCTAAGGGCGGTGTCCTGAACAAAACATCCGGTGTCCATGAAGTCTCCTGTAAATTATATGGAACTACAACATTCCTAGTTTCAGATATCCGAAGCAGCGGAAGTCCTCTGCAATTTCCTCCCTTGTCTCCGTCATCTTGAAAGAAAGCCCGGAATTTAAGGTGTCCGCTCTATACAAAGAATAATGAAATCCATCTTCCGCGTCCGTGTTCATGTATGGGGGGGGTACGGTACCTTTTGTAGTCCCCTGAATTGCCCAACAACAAAATGAACCCGGTAATTTTTTTTTTTTTTTTTTTTTTTTTTTTTTTTTTTTTTTTTTTTTAACAGAGAACAAACAAATTTTGAGTTCCACACCACCCCTTCTAGAAAAGAAACGCAGGGAGAACCAAACTCAACCAATCAGACTAATGAGAAATGGCTTGTTCTAAACCCAACCTGCTTAACCGTCCCCTCTTCCCCCCTGGCGAACGAGGCCGGGGGTTTGCTTGGAACATGTTTTTTTTTTTTTTTTCTTTTTTCTTTTTGAGAGATACCATCGGTATCCCGTTGGAAGGAGATTGTGCGGAAGAGGTCCATGTTATATGTTACAGGACAGAGCTACTATCATTCAACATATGTGTATATGTAGACTTGCTAGCGTATTGAAGGTCATATAATACACGACCAAATTCTCTCAGAACATATCATATCCCACCCATCCCGTTCCCGCAGTCCGCCCCGTCCGTAACCAACCCGTATATAATAATAATAATCAATCAAATCAATATCGCGTATATCATAAAAAAAAAAAAAAAAAAACACAAAACTTTTTGTTCTGGCCGTGGTGGAGCTTTTCCTCGTAGGATTTTCCACTACTGTTTCTTCGGGAGATCTCGGCTGAGGTGATGAGGCCCAAAGCGGCCTAGCGCGGTAAAAAACCCTTCTCGCCCTGCCAACCAACCGCTTTCCGCTTTTCTTTTCTTTTCTCCTCGTCAGATTTTTTTTTTCCTCTTCTTCCTTTTTTTCTCTTCTCTCTCATCCCCAGCACACATCCCCTTGAGGAACTCTCCTGTCTTCTTTTTCCTCTTCAATCTCCTCTCTTATCCCTCTTCCTTTCTTTCTTTAGTGTTGCGTCATATTTCACATCGCCCAAAATGGCTACTCAACAGGATAAGTCCTTCATGGGCATGCCCGTAAGTTCCTCCTCCCTCCCTCAAACCCGCAATGGGAAAAAAAAGTACCAAAAAAATGTCATGTTTCCCCGAATTGGGCTATGCGCAGTCGCGTCTTGTTGGCTTTGGAGACTTGCAACATGACTACAAGGCCTCGGGAAACGATGATGCCGCAGTCCAATTGATGTCCCTCACCCCCGGTTGAGATGGCTGTGGATGCCCGTTCCCCCGTTTTCCGGAAACAACCAGCGGCTAATATATCCTTTTTCATCTCCAGGGCTTCGTGGTCGACTTCATGAGTACGTGACCTATCATTCTTACCGTGCTGGATTGGGATGATAGCCATCATCACCAATTCGAGTGGCTATCACTGTGGACAGATTTCGATGGAAATTGAAAATTTTGATATGTGACGGACCAATGGGTGGATAACTAACATGGTGTGCCTTTTACAGTGGGTGGTGTCTCCGCCGCCGTCTCGAAGACCGCTGCGGCCCCCATCGAGCGTATCAAGCTCCTCATCCAGAACCAGGTATGTTGCTAAAGTAGAAGCAAGATCTGATAAAAAATCTGTTACATTTTCAAAATTTCAAAATTTTTACTTTGTAATTGGTTTAACACCATAAACTCAATTTAGGATGAGATGTTGAAAACCGGCCGTCTCGACCGCAAATACAATGGTATCGTCGACTGCTTCAGCAGAACCGCAAAGAACGAGGGCGTCGTCTCCCTGTGGAGAGGAAACACTGCCAACGTCATCCGTTATTTCCCTACCCAGGCCCTCAACTTTGCTTTCCGTGATACCTACAAGGCCATGTTCAACTTCAAGAAAGACAAGGATGGATATGCCAAATGGATGGCTGGTAACTTGGCTTCCGGTGGTGTAAGTTCACAACAACACGAAACCTTTTTTGTTCTTGATAAATAATCTCGGCTAATTGACATCTAGCTTGCTGGTGCCACCTCCCTTCTCTTCGTCTACTCCCTCGACTATGCCCGTACCCGTCTTGCCAACGATGCCAAGAGCTCCAAGGGCACTGGCGAGCGTCAATTCAACGGCCTGATCGATGTCTACAAGAAGACCCTCAAGTCTGATGGTATCGCTGGTCTCTATCGTGGTTTCGGTCCCTCCGTCCTTGGAATTGTCGTCTATCGTGGTCTCTACTTCGGCATGTACGACTCCATCAAGCCTGTCCTCCTCGTTGGTCCTCTTGAGGGCAGCTTCATCGCCTCCTTCATGCTCGGCTGGGGTGTCACCACTGGTGCTGGTATTGCTTCTTATCCTCTTGACACTATCCGTCGTCGTATGATGATGACGTCTGGTGAGGTATGTATACTGTTTAATCCACCCTAATTACTAATATTGGTCACTTTTTTTTTTTTTTTTTGGCTAACCAAACTTTTTTTTAACACCAAATAGGCCGTTAAGTACTCCTCGTCCTTGGATGCTGCCCGACAGATCGCCGCCAAGGAAGGTGTCCGATCCTTCTTCAAGGGTGCTGGTGCTAACATCCTCCGTGGTGTCGCCGGTGCTGGTGTGCTCTCCATCTACGACCAAGTCCAGCTCCTCCTCTTCGGCAAGGCCTTCAAATAAACGCATGTATTATTCAACAAATCCCTTGTGGTTGAAGGGATGGGGCCGGCTTAGAGTGGTGTGATCTGAGGTTGTTTGCGCTGCAGGGGGTGCATTGGGGCATGTGGCGCTGCGGGAGCGTTGTATGGCGGGGGAGAAAAAAGAAACAGAAAAAAAAAAAAGAAACAAAAAAGATAGACGATGTGCGTCAAGAACTACCTTTTTCCTTTGGTCTTGGTCGCATGGAAGCAAATATGGGTCTTTTTCTCCTTAAAACATGTTGTAACTTTACTACCACTACTACTGCTGCCTGCGAGCTTTTTCTTTTTCTCTGTACTTCCTCTTGTGTATGTGTGTTCAAATTTTGGCATTCAAATCAATTCCCTCAAGTTTCCTTTTCTAAACTTCCTCTTTCCTGTTAGTCTTTTTTCAGCTTTTCCCCATCTGTCATAATACGCTTCTGGGACTCTTCTGGGGTCTGGGATAGAGAAAGCTCGTTATCACCAAGTAGATAAAAGTTTGTTACCCTATATTTTTTGTCCATATCTGGTGGACATTCACAAGCGGAAATTGCGTTGCTCACATATTTTTGAAGTACACGTGACTGATGATATCAATTTAAAAGGAGCTCAGCAAGCAACTACTTCTGCAACTGTCTACATAGCTTTGACCAGACCTCAAGTTGCATACCACTCCACGCGAATCCCTAGATATCCAGTTATCGAACATTGTCTATTGTTGATTTCACGTTCACTTGCATTCATTCAATCATCATGGTATCCCACACCCAAACCAAAGGGGATGTAGACATACCTAACCAGAAATCCCCTTCGACCGACCCATCTGAAGCTCCCGTCTCAAAGGCACAGGAGCCTAAAACATCCCCTTCCGCCCCTACATCTATACCTACAGCTGTCCCTATGGGCATAGACAGTAGCGATAGCAATGCCAACAATGCTGACCCCGCCCCGCCCGCCTCCATCTCCACCTCCATCTCCACCCATCCCGCGCCGATGGTATATGCGCCAGGTTCACTCTCGCAATCCACAACGCAGACGGCACCTATCCCTCCAATAGCGGTAAATGCATCATCCTCTCTATCATCGCCTCCACCACCAGCCCCAGCAGCAGCTCCCATCACAAACACCGAAACCACACCTCTATCCGGAGCCGGGGCAGGAGCGGGAAGCGGAGCGGGACCAGGGGTAGGCCACACAACCCTTCACCACCCCTCTATCCTACCCCCCCCACAACCACCACTACCTTTCTTTATTGCAGGTTAGATCCCCGTTTCCATTACCTATCGCCACCAGAGAATAAAAATCAGCCCCCTACCATATTTTTTCTAACTTAAATATTTATGAGGCTTTGTTTTTTTTTTTTTTTTGCTTAGTTTTTTCTTTTGGTTTTACCCCAGCCGCAGCCCACTCCCCCCCGAGCCGCATC